AAAGGGCCTAGGCCCGAAACGTCAGCCTTTCTGCTCCTATGATGCTGCTTGGCCTGCTGTGTTCATCCAGCTCTGCACCTTGTTGTCTCGGATTCTCCAGCATCTGCAATTCCTACTATCTCTGCTACTCCCAGAGTTGTCGCAAAAATTAAAGATTTAAAAAGTACGAAAAGTTTCCCAACTTACCCCAAGTTTCAGACTTAGATTGGCAGAAAGACCAGAGCAGGTTCTACAGACTAGGAAAGGCACAAGGTGTCAGAGTAACCAATGACATTGCCACCTCTGCTTCCAAAGGATAGATTTTATCCCCAATCATTGCACCTTGTTAATGTCCAAGGAGTGAAGTCATTGGACATAACAGAGCATCTAGACACTAAACAGACTGGGACAACCACATGAATTGTGAAAAATAAGCGTTTATGAAATAAAGAAAGTATTTACACAACATTGTTAGCCACCACTGTGTCCTTTAGTACAATTTTCTCTTCCACTTCCCTCCCACTGTGACGCACGTAGGTACCCTCTCTGCAGATGGCCTGGAGTGAGTCTCCAAGTGATCTCCTCAGTGGGAATTTTACAATAATCAGGGGTAATCAGCAAACGGAGGGTTTGCTGCACTACCAGAGATGATGTTTTTCAGCAAAAATGCCAGCTGCCTCTCCAATGAAATGAAAAAGTCATGTGGCACTTTTCGACGAAGGGGATTGATGATTCCTGCCCACCTCCCCCATGTCCTGGCCTTTATTTGAACAAATATTAGTGAAACAGACTATCTGAACTTTTACCTGAATACAGAGCCTTGCTATGAGCAAGCTTCGACACTATTGTTAAAAATATACTTCACGAGCTGTAAAGGTGCCGCACAAATGCAGAAGTCTTCTTACTATCAAAGATTGGACTGTACTGACACTATGTTATATTTTCATTTGAATGTTTATGCCAAAGCAGTCCTGTTGAACTGAAAGGTAAATACTGAGATTATATTCTGTAAGTAGCACCTCTAAACCTAAATGGAGCATGGTTCAGATTTTGGAAGGCAACATTGTAATTCCCATATCTCCTTTGGAAAAGGTTTCCCCTCTGGAATGCTAAAATGTACCTTTATTGACAAAGCTCTCTGTTTGATATAAATATTAATCAAGAAAATGATCAAAGTAAATTTTTTTTTTTTCAGAAATTAACCATCTTTTCCTTTGGAGTGGAAATCCAAACTGTGGATCCAAAACATGAAAATTGCAATGTAGACTTTTCAAAGTAAAATTGATTATAAAGTCGTTTTGGAGGTGGAAGTCCCTCCAGAGTGAGCCTTCCCTTCGCCCTTTCACTGCCCATCCTGTCGTCTGTCTCATCTCTGTATAGCCTCCTGTGTTTGAATTTGTTGGCAAGCTTAACAGGCTAAAGATTGACTAAACCCAAGTGCAGAGAGATTAAAGCACTGCGTATTTGATATTGACTTGGCCTGTTTTAGGTTTGACTGTTTTGGCTGTATCAAATTGAATTTGCATAATAGAAGCACAGTGTATGAATTGAATCTGCCATACAAGATAGCCTTTGTATTTAAAGCATTTTGCAAACCCCCAGGTTGCATGGAAGGCGATATGTGTTTGTTAAAATGGCTGCAGAAAGTAGAGCTATTTAAAAGAGTGTTGATGTTGCCAGTAGAATCCACAAAGTGTTGCCTCATAACATTCTGCCTTTTTCCTTTTGGCGGGGGGCGGAGTGTAGCCGCTCCGAGTCCAAGCCGAGCCAAGAAGCAGAGGAAGCAGCAGCCAAGCTGGAGGCAGAGAGGAAGCTGGAAGAGCTGAAACGTCGTCAGGATGAGAAGGAGAGCGAAGAGTTTGAAAAGATGAAGCAGAAGCAGCAGGAGGCTGTGGTGGAGCTGGAGGAGTTGAAGAAGAAACGAGAAGGGCGCAGGAAGGTACGAGAAGAGGAAGAGCAAAAGCGGCAGCAGGATGAGGCCGAGAGAAAAGCAAGGGAAGAGGTAATGGTCGAATGGAAAGATACGCTGATGGCCTGGGTAGCAGTGTTGCCTCTGAGTTGCATGTATACGTGTCTAAAACCTACTGGGCATTGAAATAAATAGGCTGGTGGGGGCGGATAACATGTGGCGCAGAACTAACCATCAAGCCCCCCACCTACAGAAGTGTTAGTGGCTAAGCGAAATGTGGAAGAAATGAAATTGTGATTCAGGAACAAAAACAAAATTGCTAGAAAAGCTCAGCAGGTCTGGCAGCATCCGTGAAGGAAAAAAAATCAGAGTTAATGTTTTGAGTCCAGTGACCCTTCCTTACAACCGTTCTGAGGAAGGGTCACCGGACCTGAAATATTAACTTTGATTTTTCTTCACAGATGCTGCCAGACCTGCTGAGCTTTTCCAGCAACTTCTGTTTTTTGTTCTTGATTTACAGCATCCACAGTTTTTTTTTTCAGTTTTTCTTGTATTTGAAGAAGCTGGGAAAGCACATTTTCTCAAACAAAGGAATACCTCACCAATCCATTCATCCATTAAGGCCTTATCATGGCTATATGGGCCAAATGCTGGAAGGTGGGATTAGAAAAGTTTGTTGCTTTCGATGGGGAATGATGAAATGGGCCGAAGGGAGTTTATAGTAACACCATAAGAAATAGGAATAGGAGTAGGCCATTCAGCCCTTCGAGCCTGCTCTGCCATTCAGTAGGATCATGGCTGATTCAACATTCTTCATATCCACTTTCCTGTGTCTTCCCTATGACCCTTAATTCTCCGACTGATCAAGAATCTATCCATCTCAGCCTTAAATATACACAAAGGCTCTGCTCCCAGTGCTCTCTGTGGCAAGAAGTTCCAAAGACACTCAACCCTCTGAGTGAAGACATTCCTCCTCGTCTCAGGCTTAAATTGGCACCTCTTTGTCCTGAGACTATGTCCTCTGGCCCTTTTACTCTGTCAAGCTTCTTAAGAATCCTGTATGTTTCTTTGTGATCACCTTTTAGTCTTCTAAATTCCAGTGAGTAGAGTCCCAACCTGTTTAATCTTTGTTGATAAGACAAACCCTTCATTACCAGGGATCATGCCAGTAAACCTTCTGAACTGTATCCAATGAAATTAATCTTTCCTTAAATAAGGGGACCAAAACAGCTCATCAGATGTAGTCTCACCCATACCTTGTACAGTTGCAGTAAGACCTCCCTACTCGTTTATTCCAACTTCTTTGAAATAAGGGCCAACATTCCATTAGCCTTCCTGATTACCTGCTGCACCTGTATGCTAGCTTTCTGCATTTTGTGCAGTTACCCCCTAGTCCCTGTGTGTTGCAGCTTTCTGCAGTGTTTCTACTTTTAAATAATACTCTGTTCTCCCTTCCAAAATGAACAACTTCATATTTCCCTCACTACACACCATTTGCAAACATTTTGCCCACTTACTTACCGATCAATATCTGTCTGCAAACTGTTTCCATGCTGTAAATCTCCATGACTGTGTAAATCTCCATGACTGTATAAATCGCATTGTCCTTCTACTCCAATTCACTCCTTCTCATTATTCTCATTCACTGCTTCCGAACATCGTCTATTCTCACACTCCTCACACATTCTAAATGACTATACCTCTCTCCACGCACTCCTTGCTGCCTCTTCTCACACGATCCAGTCTTTCTTTACAGTTAACCATTTCAACACTATTCCCCTTTGTTAAACTCTACTGCTGTGCTCACTGGTTGCTTTCTCCCCCTTCTCATTGACATCCCTTGTCACCTCTCCTTGCATGTCACACACTATTAACTTAATTTTACAGGGACTCACAATATATCTGAAAGAGACTGAAAGGCCTGCAGTAACTGAAGGTTTCAGACCCAGTGGGCATAAGCCATTGAGGCCAAATATATGCCTTCAGTCTGGGATGAAGTTTAACAAATTGATTTAATTCAGATGAGCACCTAATGTTTTCTGAGTGGCAGGTTTACGATGCATATTGGACTATTGATCATGTAGATAAAGCCTGGCCAAGAAATAGTATGGCAGCATGACACAGCCCAGCCTGGAAACAATGGCTTCATTTATGCTCTCTAGGTTAATGGAAAATGGACAGGCAATGAGATTTAGAGCGATTCATTTCACTGTTTTATTAAAAGAATAAATTGTTAGGGTTGTTTATGATCGAGCACCAGAATTTTAAGCTGTGAACATTTTCACAAAGCCTTTTTTGATTCATCTAATCTCCTAATTGGGCGCTCCTTCCTCAGGAAAGCAGAGTTAGTAGTACAGGTGTAGAGGTGAATTGGGATATGGGGGATTTAAATGTCTCAAGAGAGTGAGAATAGGACATGGGAGGAGACCAAGAATGGGACTTGTCAAGAGGGAAACATACTGGGACATGTTGGATGAAGTATCGTGTGATCTCTTAGAGGACCAGTGAGAAGAAGAGGTAATTGGGATCAGTGGAAGGAATGGGAGAATGGGACCAGGTGGAAGAGAGCAGTGTTCTCATTAAGATGTGCACTATGCTGGAATATACTGTACAACGAAGCAAAGAGATCACTCCCAGCTTAATGAAATTTCAGTGACTTTATATATCTATGCTGTCATGTATAAAATAGTTGTGCATGGAAGAGTTTGTAGTTCACCCAGTGGAAAACAAATTAGAGGGAACATTTGTGGAAGGAAGCCAGTGCATAAAAATATAAACCAGTTGTTATGATCCCAGTTGATGTTATTACCAGACAAGTCAGCTCCCGGGGTGAAATCTGCCTTGATAATCTTTTTTATTTAATGTGGCGGTCTTTTACTGAAATACAAGTATGCAGTAAAAACAATAAAACAGAAGTTTACGATTTTAAAGGAATGAAAATAAAATAGAATAAACCAGGTTATCTATGTATGACACAATCAGAAGGATTTTGAAACACACAGTGAAAATGCAATCCCATTTATCTCGATACCATCACTTGACTTAAACATCAGAGAGTTTGCTTCTCTATTATATCTGTCAGTGTAACTTAACTGTTTCTTTCATTCCCAGTCTTGAGGATTTGGCACCCTCTTCCTTCATTAGTCAAACAATTGAACTTAAACTTTCTCAACTTTAAATAATCTCATCTGACCAAGCACTTCTGGTCTGGAATGTTCAAGCTAAAATTCTTGCACTGAGGTTATCTATTTCCTAACAATACTAAGTTCTATCCCTGATCAGGTGAATCTGTTCCACCATTTAACTTACACCAGGGTTTCTGCAAACTGAACTGAAAAGTTTCCAAGCAAGAAAACAAAATCCTGACCCATTCAAACTGCAAGCAGTTTAATACTTCTCCCTGTTTACAGTTTCCATTCGTATAATTCTCCCAATGCAAACAATTTTCTATTATCAACACATGGACTCCATTTCTCATATTAGTTTTTAAAAAAGCCTTCAGAAATACTGATGAGATAATCATTAAAAGCCCTCCTACAAACAGACCAAAGTCCACATGCCACTGGTTCAAAATCCAAACTCTAACATAAACGATACTAATGTGTACGTATAATCTCAGACGTTACATCACATAGTTACTCCATTCACTTGAATGTTCCATTCAAAGTCTCTGTCACTATTTGCTTTCTCCTGTCTACACACAATACATGTTACTTCTTCCTTTAGACATGGAATTGCATCTACCTTCATGTAACCTACAAGAACTTGTAGCTTTCAGGAATGTAAATAAAATGTGAAAGGAGTAGTGAGGATGCACACAGTTTGAAATTCATGCCTTCATCTCACCAAACAATGAAAATGTGGATAGCACATAACGGCTTGTTTCTTGGCTGTAAATTCAATCATAATGTAACAATGAGGCATTAAGAAAGAAACCCTGCCCTTTTGGCTCAGTGTTCAAATCTATGAGGCTGATTACATACAAGAATAAAAATTGCACTCCTCTACTTTTGAATCTTGCAGTCTGCATTGGGCTGTGTTTAAATGTTATCCAGAATTCGCGAGGGGATTCACTCGCAAATCTCCTGTTGCAGTTTGGACAATACGTTGACTAAATGTCCAGATAAGTGGCATAAATTCATTTCTTCTGGGATCTTTGTTGACGCAAGATTGGAGTCATCTGGATGAAATTATTGGCATTGCCTTTAAATATTGGAAAATATTGCGTAGGAGGATGGGAACTTCCTAGAATCGGCCAGTGAAGCCCCACTGGGTTCTGAAGTTCTCCTTCTCCTCTCCTAAACATTCTAGTCCCAATATTCAAGACTAGCATTCCATATCCTTGTCACCTTTGTTCCAAAATGTCATTGTCTCATTCTACCTACCCACAGCCCCCACTGTTATTATCTCTCTCCACTTGCTCTATCCCTTTACTGTTACTTTCCTACACTTTGTTAGAGTCATACTATTGTTGCTTCTCTTCAGCTCTCAATGCATGCTTTTTAAACTTGTGCAAAATGTTAGATATGCTTAATTTGCACCTTGAAGTTCTGTGATGCTTTGTATCAGTCGCACAGATTTTGATTGTATTGCTCTACACAAACTCACCTGAGCAAAATTTCTGCTCTGTTGTTTTGACGTGGTATAAACCCCTTGCAAAATAATATTACATTGAATTAATCATGGCCAATACCACACTTATTAGATTTATATGGTACACCGTAACACAAATATATGATGTACCAGGCAGCGCAACCATTTAAGAGTGTTATATGTTCCTGAGTTACTGAGTAAACTGTCCAATATGCAAAATACCCTGACCAAAAACAAGCAATATAGCCTGTGCATGAACCAGGCTGTGCAGGTTTCCTGTTCTGATGAAGGCCAAAGATCAACTTTTGTTCTCTCCACAGATGGTGACTGACCTGCTCTGTATTTCAGCTCTTTCTGTCTCTAACCTACACACTGCAACTTTACCACACCTTAAGATAAACATCCAAGATGGGTTTTTATTTTACTGACATTAAAACTAGTTGGACTGCGATCTATCAACCTGATTTGACACACTCAATGAAAGTGCTGACAAACCTTAGAATGGTTTGGTGGGAATTGGAAAACAGTAAAAGCCAATTACTGTTCTCAGTCAATTGCAACTTAAATATTTGCCCTTGTTTTTAAGGAGGAGAAGAGAAAATTGAAGGAAGATATCGAGAGACGAAGGGCAGAGGCAGCAGAGAAACGGCAAAAACCAGAGGATATTGAAACGTCCAATGATAAAGAACCATTCAAGTGTGTGAGCCCCCGTGGTTCCTCCCTAAAAGTACGTACTCAGCGAGCTATAGGATGTTCATCCAACTCACTTTGGATGTGGAGGATAAAGGTGGATGGTTATCATTTAAAAACACTGTTAAAGTCAACTAAGAGATTGTTTAGAGAAAACACTGTGGGAGGTTCTTGTTCTGTATTGTCAGTGGAGATTTTCACAAGGGCAATGCAAGCCTATAGTGTCATAGCCCTGCCACTGACATGTGATCCCAATGAGAATTCATGCCCTTGTCTCAATCTTATAAAATTGCCCCTGATACTTTAAGAAGAAAAATATTACCATTTACTGGCCAGGTGAGTCTGAGATCAAGTTTTACTGTCTTCTCTCTTTACACACAAATTTCCACAGAGAATTTTATGTCTTTCTCTTTTTCAGAAGTTGCTGTCGACTTCCTCATGATTTACGGCTATCCCCTGTCAGTACCTCACTAGACACTTACTCCACATGTCAGACAATGGGTTCTGACTATCTATCAGAAATAGGCACCATGATAATTAGTGCCTTCTATAATAATAGCACTGAAGCTAATTTTAGCCCTTCAGTACAACAGTGATTACTTTCAAAAGTGCTCCTTTTTTGTTCAAAAACGCTTTGTGATTTGCTAAAGCATTGAACGGTGCTATGCAAATACAGATCCATCTTTTCATATTAACCTCCTATAAACCAAGTATTAAGTAAAGATTAACTGTTCTGGTCCAAATCGATCAGCTACTCAATGAGGAGACTTACTGAAGTGTCAGGAAAGGAGTTACTTTCTAACTTTCAGCACTTTGAAGAAGAAGCAAATTTTGAAGTAATTCAATCACTTTTTGTTTAAGAGGGACCCAGTCCTCAAAGGTTAATTACTGCCATGCACTGATATTAGAGGGGATTTTTTATTCAAAAAAAGCAAAGATTGCATTTATAAAGCACCTTTTGCATCCTGAAGAAACCACACAGTGCATTACAGATGAGGAAGTACTTTTGAAATGTAATCATTGATATTATATTGAGAAAAGCAGCAGACAATTTGTACCCAAGAACAACAATGTTGGTTGAGGGATAGATATTGGTCAGGATGCAGGAAAGAATTTTTCTCTCGTCTTTTTTGAACAAAGCCTTGGAATCTTTGAAATCCATGTGCAAAAGTTGACAGGGCCTCATTGCACTTCACAGTAAAACAGGACACGCAGCATTCCCTCAGTCCTGAGCTGAAGTCCATCCTACATTTTGCACTCAGATTTCTTGAGAGGGACCTGAACCTACAATCTGCTAACTCAGACAACAGTGCTGTTGCAAAGTCGGTGACGATTGTGATCCGAAAACCACTCGCAAGCAGGCACCGTTGTTTTAGTGGAGCATTTTGATTTGCAAAGTGTCTGCAATAGATTGATTAAAAATCCAAAACTGTTGAGAGTGACTGTAGCTTGGCTCAGTTGACAGCACCCTTACTTCTGAGTCTGAAGATTATCAGTCCAAGAAGCACTCTTAAATGCAAAATGCGTGTTGCAGTTTTGGTGCAGAGCTTGAGATGGGAGGTGAAATCGATGCCTTTCAAGTTGTTAAGATGATTCCCGAGTGCAGTCTGGAAATGATTCTTCCAGTGTCACGGCCAAATTCTTTCCTCAACTAAAACTGCCAAAGAAAAGGATTAGCTAGTTATTCATGTCGATTTAGCATTTGTAGACAATAAATATATTTACACAATAATTTATTGGATATAATGCAATTTGGACATCTTGAGGATGTGGTAAGGCATAGTGGAAATGCTAATTCTTTTCATTTTGCAAATCGAGCACAGATTTTATGATAATCTTGGACATTCCAGATGGTCATCAGAATCTCCTTCAAATGCAGTTCAAACAAAAGTTATACAAAATAAATTTGATATTATAATACGAAGGTTTAAATCTTTTGGCAGCAATATTCTATATTCTGAAATATCGTTCACTACGTTTTACTGGAAGCGAATGTCAGTAGCAGTTGAACAGACTTTTTTTCATTTGTTTTTGACAAAATATACTACTTTTATTCTACAGTTTCTCCTTTAATTATTTGTTTTCTACCATCATACCTGTAGCCTGAAGACCTACACTGTTCTCTCGTTGTTAGTGTTTATCAGAATATCAGTGTACACGTAATATAATCATTATCACCACAGTTAATAGAATAGGATAGTCACAGCAATGGTTCACTGGAATTCACCAGAAATGAGGTTAATGGTTATGTGGAAAGTCACAGAAAATTTGGGGATTTTTTTCCTCTCTAGTCTTTCACAGGTTGCAGGCAATGCAGTAAGCTGACATTTGTTGCATATACCTTATTGTTCTTGAACTTAGTGGCTTGCTAGGCCAATTCATGGGGCAGCTAAGAGTCAACCGCATTAATTTGGATCTTATGTAGGCCAGACCAGGTCAGGATGGTGGATTTCCATCCCTACCAGAAGCAAACAGAGAAGTTTTTATGACAATTGATGATGGTTGTCCTTGTTACCATTATTGAGACCAGTTTTTTAACGCCAGATTTATGAACTGAACTCGTATTCCACCAGATTTGAAGCAGTAGTCCCTGAGTATTAGTCAGGGTGTCTGAATCACCAATCCAGTGACACTAACACTTTACCATCATCTTTGGCCTGCTACAGAGTAAATTGAGGAAAAAAAAAATGTTTTACTTCTGATTGTTTGAGTCTGTAATCAGGAGGTATAAATTGAGGATTGTTACCATGAGAATAATTGAAGGAAATTACTTTTTCACACACGCAGGTTAATTGGAACTTGGAATTCTTTACCACTAATTGCCATAGAGACTAGAAAACTGATTTTGCAAATTTATTGTAAGTGAATATAGCTCACAGGCAGTTGACTTAACATGCGTAAAAGAAAAATGTAAAAGGGCAGTGGATTGGAATTCATGTAGATATCCCCAGTTATAGGGTTAGTAACAGTGCAAATGCAATAGACTGAATGACTTTCTGCTAATTTATATTTCCAGGATTAAGACACCTCAAAATTTAATGTAAATTATTTATATATCTGTACCCTTCTGGAATCTGTTTTCAGATCTGCCGGTATATGTGCATCCTGTTTACCATATGTGTCTGCTTATTTCCTACACAACAATCCTTTAAGAACATAGGTTTTTTTGTGCTGAGTTGCTTTGTCCTGTTCTCTACACCCTTTATAATTTTAATACTGTGCACTTCTGATTTGCTGTAACCATTCAAAAGATGGACTGCTTCATGTATCGAGTATTTTGCTGAAAATATTCTTTGTATTGAATGCATGCTGACAATCAGCTAGCATTAACCCTTTCACAACTAAATCAGAATTTGTACCTAATTGACAAGAAGATTGTGAAGTCCAGACGTACTTTTTAAAATTAAGATCTTGTGGGGAATGACCTAACAGCTTCCTGGTTCAAAACAAAAGCAGATTAAACAATTTAAAAGTGGCTATAGAATACACTAATACGCAGGCACATTTAAACACAAACACAGACACAAATAAAGTCAATTGGTTCAAGTTAGTCTGATTCTTGTCCTATGCTTTCACGATTTTGAACACTTCTATCATATTGCCCCATAATCTGTGTGTTCTAATGACAAAGGAAATAATTTTTCTTCTTAATTTGTATTGTCTTCTAGTAAGTTGTCAGGTCATTCCCTATCAAATCCTAATCACAATAATAGCATTATAGTAATGTATGATAGCTCAACATATTTGCTGCAACTTTAGCCTTAACGAACAATTTTCAATAGGGCCCATGATTACTTAGTCATTACTTAAATTCACAAGTATCGGATTATAAAAAAGGGTTAATGAAGTGGCTGATACAAAGACTTGTCTTTCTAATCTGTCATAGCTTATTGTCAAATTCAATGACTGAATTTTTTGAAGGGGTGACAAAGGAAAGAGATGTGGATGTAGTTTATATGGAGTTTAGTAAGGCATTTGATAAAGTCCCACATGTTAGATTTGTACAAAAACTAAAATCACATGGGATTCGGGCTGGGCTGACTGGATGGATACAAAACTGGCTTGGCCATAGAAGACAGAGGGTAGCGGTAGAAGGGTATTTTTCAGAATGGCGGCCAGTAACTAGTAGTATTCACAGGGATCAGTCTTAGGACCTCTATTGTTTGCGTATATATAAATGAGCTGGAGGAAAATGTGGATGGTCTGATTAGTAAGTTTGCAGATGACACAAAGATTGGTGGAGTTGCTAATAGTGCCGACGATTGTGAAAGGATACAATGGAATATTGATAGATTGATGACTTGGGCACAGAAGTGGCAGATGGCATTTAATCCAGACAAATGCGAGGTGATACATTTTGGATGATCAAATTTAGGTGTGAATTATACTGTAAATGGCAGTTCCCTAAAAGTGGCAACACAGGTGGCCAAGGTGATAAAGAAGGCATATGGCATGCTTGCCTTCATCGGCCAGGGCATGGAGTACAAAAGTTGGCAAACCATGTTGCAGCTATATAAAACCCTTGTTAGGCTGCATTTGGAGTATTGTGTACAGGTTTGGTTGCCATATTACCAGAAGGACATGGAAGCTTTGGAGAGAGTGCAGAGAAGGTTCTCTAGGATGTTGCTCAGTCTCGAGGGCATTGGCTATGAGGAAAGGCTAAAAAGACTAGGATTGTTTTCACTGGAAAGACAGTGGCTGAGAGGAGACCTGATAGAGGTCTACAAAATTATGAGAGGCACAGATAGGGTGGATAGTCAGAGGCTTTTTCCCAGGGTTGTAGTTTCAATTGCAAGGGGACATAGGTTCAAGGTGAGAGGGGGCAAGTTTAAGGGAGATGTGCGAGTGAAGTTTTCCACACACAGAGTGGTAGGCACTTGGAATACACTGCCAGAGGAGGTATTGGAAGCAGGCACATTGGTGACATTTAAGAAACATCTGGATGGTGACATGAATAGGGGGGGCATAGAGGGATACTGACCGAGTAAGGGCAGAAGGTTTGTTTTTTTAGTTCAGTCAGGGCATGATAACCGGCACAGGTTTGGAGGGCTGAAGGGCCTGTTCCTGTGCTGTGTTCCTCTTTTGTTCTTTGTTCTTTTGCCTAATTAGTTCTAAATACTTGCTTTAGATACAGCTTTTCACCCATCCTCACCCAAGTTTAGGGTCATTATTATTAAGATAAGGTAGGCTCCTAAAGAGCCCACACTCTGACTTCAGGGATAAGTCCAATAAATCAGTGAGCAAATAGAATATTCTGTATTAAACAAATACTTTAACTCTGCCATAAGTATCAACAGCTGTTATGAACATTTGGATTATCAATACGTTTTAATACAAATGCATTCTCCAATAGGGAAGAGTTGATGTGAGGAAACATGTTATTTTATTTCTACACCACATGTTGCACAGGCTACATTTTCAGGCCTTGCATTGAATGTAATGAATTTATTAGAATTAGTCAGGAGTGTACAATGTAAGTTGGCATACTACACAATCGTGATGCTCAGAGTAGAACTGATATCAAGCACAATGGCACACTCTACAGGCACTCTATTAAAACAACAGCTTCTCTTGAAATCCTCCTCAATCTAAAGTGCAACTATCATTGTAGAGATATCAGGGTAAATTCAGTAATTAAGATCATGTGTCACAGAGTTAGTGACCCTACCTCTGTTCAAGTCACACCTGCCCTGGAGGTATGTCCCAACAAAATGAGTAAAATTTTATAAACTCATTAACCCCCAACAGACAGCTGGATTGAAAGTAGGTTGGAGACTGGGTTAAAACTTTCTAGCATTTGCAAACTTCATCTGCCTCGGTTGGCATTATATTAGGAAATTTATCCTGAAAAGAAGGGAATGCCAAAAAATGGAAATTTTATAAAGAAACAGCTTGATAGACATGAGGCTTCCAGGACTTTGGGATCTAGGTTCTAAAAGCTATTGCTCCAGTCATTCTGAGACAACAAGGTGTAGAGCTGGATGAACACAGCAGGCCAAGCAGCATCAGAGGAGCAGGAAGGTTGACGTTTCGGGTCTGGACCCTTCTTCAGTCATTCTATTGTATTTAAATTGGAAATGCCATGTGAAATTGAACAGCTTTCTGTAGTGACAACCAACCAAACTCGTGATGAAATCCCTGAAGTACCTTTCCTTCAAATGGTTGCTGCAAACAAAGTTGTTTTTTAAATGAAGAAGTTGTAACATTTTAATATTTCTCTGAATATTCACAAGTCTTTGTATTATTTAGAGGAACTGTGGTCTGTTTTCAAACACAGTAGACGGCATGTTTGTGAGTGGTACTTCTGTATGGATTAGGAGTTGTGGCCTGGATTCCTCAATGGTGGAAAGTGGAAAATCCTTTAGCTGGGATACGTTTGTAGTTCAGAACAAATGGTTCAGAACTTCACCTAAAATGCTAAATCGTTAAATGTCCCACCCCTCTATCTGTATGTCTTCAGATATTTTCACCCTTTCCCAGTAGATGCTAACTGATACCGCAGAAGTGTATTTCTTACTTCAAAATTAGAGGCATTTAAAATATATGTAATTGACCGTGAAAATTGATGAGATCACAACACCGTTCTACTCGACAGATATTTTCATCTTGAGAAGATTGGCTTCTGAAACATATTTAACTTGTTTCTCCTGATTGTCCAAGAAACCATTGCAGTGGACAGAATGAGATTTTTATTTACGATTTTTGCCAATTTAAGCTTGAGGGCAGTATATCTTACAGTTTGTTCGCAATGTGTTAGTAGAGATAACAACTATTTTATCATAATGCCAGAAACAGAAAGATTAGACATGAAATTCCTTATAATCTTCCTTTGTTTTCTCACCGAATCTAATAAGGTGTGAGTTTGTTGCTGATCATGCAGTGGCTTTTGTTGGTTAATTCTTTCAATTTTCTTTTTTTAAAGTGATCATTGCCCGAATTACAAGCCATTCTGTTCGATTTTTTTTTCAGATTGGAGAAAGGGCAGACTTTTTGAATCGATCAGCAAAGAAGAGGTAAAACCTTTAATAGCATCTCGTCCTCGTTTATTCACTTATTACTCAAGACCATTAACGTTGTGAAATCAATTATATTCACAGCTCTACCACCAAGACATCACGTCCTGTACTGGGTGTATCCAAGATTGACAGTAAATTGGAGCAGTATACAAGTGCAATTGAGGTGAGGATGCAAAACAATTATACATATAATATGCTTATTTTTTCAGAACCAGTTACAGAAGATCAATTCCGAAATTCTAAAATCTGCATTTTAAAAATTAAAATATCCGGGAGAAATTATCAATTTTTCTTTAAGCAAATAGAATGTCAGTTTATTTTAAGCTCTTCAACATAGAAACTTTGAATTCATGTTTCAAAGAAATTAAGTCTAAATTGTTACACCAAATCTGATTTTTAGCAATAGATGATAAGTCTGAAATATCTATTCTGTTACAGTTTTAGACAATTAACATATAATCCCTTAACCTGCAATGTTAATACTTTCACCTCCTGATTTGTTATTGAATTTCAGCTCATATGCTACTGAAACCCTCATCCAGCCTGTTATTACCTGAAGATTTGTCTGTTCTGATATGCTGTTGGTCAGCTCCACTTTGCACCCTCCTTAAATGTAAACACACACAAAAATTTCAGCTGTGATCTTTATCATTCCATTGTTGGTGACCATACCTCCAGCTGTCAAGTTTTGGTATTCCCTCCCATCTCTCTCCACCTCACTACTGTACTCTCTACCTTTAAAGTGCACCTTAAAACCTCTTTCTTTGACAACAATTTTGGTCATCTGTGCTAATGTTTCATGGTAGAACTTGCTGTTAGATTTGATTTCAAGCTCCTCGCAAAACCTTGGAATGTTTCACTTCAGGAGTGCTACAAAAATGCATGTCATTGAAGCAGCCTTTACTCAGTTCCATTATTGTGTTTCAATTTTAATTCATTGGACTTTGCACTATGCTGACTGCCATATCATGTTCTTGTGAGACAGTCTCGGTCACTTGGCTAACCTCTTCCTGTCTTGATCCTCTATCATTATCTCTATTTTGGCTCAATGCCCTGTTCTTGCTGTTCTGATCTCCTGTTATCTTGCTCACTATCTATATCTGTCATTTCTCTATTCCGCCTCACTCGTCAATTCTCTCAGTTCAGGGGCAGCCCTGGCTCACTCACCCGGTCTTATTATCTCTCTGCTGGCTTGTGCAGCCAATTCTACAAATAAATTGAGCCTCATTGCACGCTATTCTGTGACTTCCCAACCCTCATTGTGTAACCATTAGTTCACTGTATAGACACAATAGGCCGCTATGATGTACATGAGGAGTGTGAAGCTGCAAGGAGTAGGGTGTAAAATGTAATTCCACAACTGGTTTGGAGGAGCTGGGGAGAAGTGGAGGCTGAAAGCTCAGAGTCTGGGTTACATCAAAGGAGGTCACTCTAGCTCCTGGGAACCTGAATGCTCACTCCCTTGTCCCAATATTCTTGGAGGTTTTAAGACAGTTTGCAGCAGCAGGAATATCTCAAGTCTCTATCTTCCTTAAGCACACTGATTTACAGGAAACAGTAATCTGAAAAGCCTCCATTTATTTTATGTTAAAATGCTGGTGGCAATTTGAACAGGGTTTCAAAATAATGTACCTTTGAAACTGTTGCTGTTAAAGTATAATTTCGATGCTGAGATTTCATTATGTTAAATGATGAAAACTGAAGCTTTAGAGTTTTACCCACATCCTAAAAGCTGAGATTAGGTTTGGACTTTCAGCTTAATCTCTCACATGACCATGAGTGGAGCATTGTGCACAATAGTGTATTAACCTCATTTGAACATTATCCCTCAATCCTTGCCACGGATTTAATTCAAATTACTTGCCGGGGAATCCTCAATAAAGTATTGAGCATTTTATCAATTCCAAATCTGTTGTTGACAGCATTATAGTCATTGCAATCTATTTTGACATTGCTATTTGTGCATTTACCCACTCGACACTTATCTGAGGATTCTAACTGTTATCTTTTACACTTAGGGTGCCAAAGCTGCGAAAGGAGGCAGGACATTAGCTTCAGATCTCCCACTGACAGCTGAAGGAGTGCGGAACATAAAGAGTATGTGGGAAACTGGTGATGTCTATAGTTCTGCTTCCCCACCTAATAAGGGCACACCGAACAAGGTAAGGTAGCTTTGGGATTTTCCTGTTAAAACCGGATGATGCTGAAATAGGATGTGGGTAGGACAATAAAGTGACACAAAATTTCTCTCTTTATCACTGTGCTGACACTAGCATGAAATCACTCACAGATTTACTGCACAGCTGTTTTTGTTCTGGAAATGATACGAGCTTTGTGTTTATAACTCTTTACCCTATGGATAGATTTTGACACTGGCAGTTTTGTATCTGTGGAGATCATGCCTGTATTACTAGGATTTGTCTCCAGTTTCCTCTTTTAAGAATACTGAGGTTTTTTTTTAAAATCTGCTGAATAAAGTTTCTGCCACAGAACTTTAAAGACAAGATTCCAAGGCCTTCATTGTATTTTAATTATTGACGATATTGATCAGAAACTGGTACAGACTGAGCAGTGTCAAACAGATACCATCCGACTGAAGTTTTATTCATATTACAAAAATCTTTGGGTTAAAGAGTTAAACATCGATAATTTGCTTAATATCACAGCATCGTTCTTCAGAAAGTTGGTTTCTTGAATATATTTGGGATTTTTAAATGTTGTTTCACGCTTGGATTAATGTGATATGGCTTTACCCAATTTTGAGAGATCCCAAAAACTGCCTCCACCATGATGAAGGATTACGTTTATTCACAGTTGTTCAAGGTTTATTCCTAATTTATTAATCGCAATAATTTAGCATCCTTTTGATATCAATGCTGGTGCCTGCACACTTCATGAGCATCTTGTTGTTTGTGCCATGATATGTTTTTAAACTCCTGTTGAATTTCCCATCAGGAACCTTTGACTGGACAGAGAAATTGGATCTGGTGATCCAGAGTAATCTTGTCCAGCAGGCTTTACTAAGAAAATGAACAGACTTTGGGATGGAACACTAAATGGTCTCCAGAATCCAAGCTGATTTCTGGTCCTTTTAATGTCCAATGATTTAAGATTCATTCAAACAGTAGAAAGATAATCAAATAATCCATTTGGCCCATCATCTGTTCTGGCTTTTTGAAATCATAATTACTTACACTGCTCTTCTCCAATTCCTCTAATAAGCTATTATTAAGTCTACTTCCACCAACCCTTCAGACAATGTGCTCCAGATTTTAACAACTCACTTAATTTTTGCAGTTACGTTACACATGGTGCAATCTCAGTATCCCCGTGTAAAACCAGTCGGTAGAATCTGGAGCGGCTGTGAAAATGCTATGACACTGTTGAGGTTCAAACGGGCCAGGCAGCTTTTTCACCCGAGGATGCATACGCTATGGTCATGCTATAGGGTCCACAACAAGCAAAGTTTCTAGAACTAAAGCGATCAATGTGACAATTATGAAATTACATTTCTGGGAATATCTCCCAAGTAGGTACAACTGCCAGAACTGCTGTGCAACATACCCATAAGATCTCGATGTTAAATATCAGAGCCTTTCAAGATGCTCAGGTCAGGAATAGCTGACTCATGGTCAAGAAGAACTTTATGTAAAATCAGCAGTACGTATGATAACAATGTAAAGAACTAAATTCTTGAGCTAATATTGTTTTCTTCCCGTTTCAAAAGAGCATGTCCCACTCTCGAACTACTATAAAACAACTTCACTGCAGAATGGCGAAGCAGATTACTCCCTTGTTATAACCTTGGATTTCTAATAATTTTTTTTATTGTATGAAATTAAAGATATCTGACAATAGTAGGTAATGTGCAGTTGTACTTGATTTCTGCATTATTCCAAGTATTTGAGAAAAATCAAAGCTAACATGATTTCATTCATAATGTGCACAGAATGTTTTGGGAAAAGGAATAAGTGTTTTTCCACTGTGCTGGGTATTGTGGTGTTGAGTTTTTAAATCCTATTGAAACTTGCATGCACACTGAAGCTTCACAAGATTCTGTTTATGACTGTCCTTTGTAGGAGGTAGCGGGTCTGAAAGTTGGCGTTGCCGGCCGCATCAACCAGTGGCTCACCAAAACTCCTGAAACAAACAAATCACCTGCATCTAAACCCTCAGTAAGTCGCCCACCTCTTCACTGCTTTTCAAAGAAGTTTCTCACTTCAGAAAAAAACCTGTCAGCTACGATACTAGAATGTTCCTCATTGAGCCAGTTTTGAAAACATGGCCTTAAATGAACTTGATGCCTGAGTTTGCTCAGGTTGGCAGTTTATTCACAATTGCAGCCAGGTTGTGTAGGTAGGGAAGAAGATTAACTGGGAGAGGATGGATATGCCAGGCTGTGTTACCTCTGTACAAATCCTGGCAAGTGTGTCTGTCAAAGGTGAGCATTGCAAACCTTAATTCAACCTTCATTCCCCAAGGAAGATAATGTAGAATGGTTAAATTATATCAATTAAAACAATTAGGGAAATATCTGTAATTTAGTACAATGATACCAAATAAACGGTTTTTGTCATACTGAAATTGCAAGAAAAAGCATCAAATATCTGAGTTTTTGTGCTTGATTTACTTTTCAGCTTATCGACTTCAAATTTAGAATAAGATATAAATTTGGAAATGGAACTTTCTACAATGTGGAAAATAAATTGTATAGATTTGCAAGCGATTTAATTTTCCAAAAAATTTTGGTAGATTTGAATAGAACTGCCAAATTCATTAAGTGTAATATTCACGTAACAACAGTGTCAGTTCTCTGCGCTTAATTGAAACAGTAGGTAGAATGTTCCTGTATCTTTTTCATTGACATCATGCTACAGACATATTTACATATTTTCATACTTTCAGTCTTGTTTGATCAGATTGTCTCAGGATAACTCACTATATTGTAAAGTACTGCGTTACAACAGCCAAGACTGAAGCCCACCATGCCATTTTTTAGAGGTTTATAATCCCCAGCATTCTGATATGTATCAGAACCTGACAATGGTGCATGCTGTTTATAATTTCCATCATTTAAAAAAAATCTTGATATAATACCCACTCTTTAATAGTTCTAAAGAAGGGTTAACTCTGATTTCTCTCAACAGATATTGCCAAACTTGCTGAGATTTTCCAGCAATTACTGTTTTTATTCTACTCTTTTATAGCCTCTGTACTTATTACATAATTCTCAAAGACAATGCTACAAACATGATTGATGTTACAAATGCCAGAAAGTAGCAGAGGCAATCAAGAGAAACACTAAATTTAAATTAAATGTGAATTGAGATGGAATATATTTCTCTAATCCAAAACTGGAAGGTAGTAGCCAGATTCTTTGCCTTACAATTTTGACATAATCATTAAGTATGTTGTACATCCTTGTTGCTATCAGTAGTGAAGACAGTAAATGACTTCTGGCTGAGATAAAAAAAAGAGAACCAGTGCCAAATGACTGGCATTGAGCAGTCATAGAGCATGGACTTTTTTTTAAACATAAAAGGTTGCTCATTTGCTGATGAATAGCTTGTTAGAAGGGCTGACAGTAATGAATAAGTAATATGATGGAACACAAATTTTGTAAAGAACATCAAAAGATATTAAGTATTTTACTCTTAAGCTCCTCCAACTTATTGAATGAGCTAGGAATGCTCTGATCTGCCCACATGTTCGTAAAAGAAATGAATACATTTATGACAGGCCACTGTAATTCCAATAATGTATAGTTAAGCCTTGTTAGCACAAACCTGTAAAGGTTTACAAAATAATTTTTATCAAATATTTAAATTGTTAACAACTGAGATCACATCCCAATGAATTCTATGGCACTTCAAAGTCGATTTCAGAAGCTGTCCAGCTGTATTCAAATAGTTACTTCAGCACTGAAATGAGTCACTCATCTTCAGTGGTTACATCCTATACAAGTCTCCTCATAGCACCATTACATCTTCCTACCCTGACAATATCAGTCTATTCCCTTTATCTTCATGTAGGCATAATAGTGCACCTTAAATGAGCTAATTGCTCCCTGCTTAAACCATTTTGTTTAGCAGTGAGCTGTACCTTCTCACCACTCCCTATCTAAAGAAATTCCTTTTCGTTAGTTTATTGATTTTTAGTTGCTATCTAGATTTATCAGACTACTGCAAACATGTGAATTTCACTGAATGAGTTGGCAACTGATGGATATATTGCATTACAAGATTAAAATTTTGTAAGATAAAGTGTTTATGCAATGTTTCATGAGATATGAGGAATTGGTGCCAATGTCTTTGAGACTGAATTGCAGCCCACATAATTTTGAACACATGAATTAGATACTAAATGAACGAAAAACATTGTGGACTATGAACTGGACACACTGAACAAATGGAATTCACTAAATGCTTGGCAGACCTCAAGCAAGAGGCTAAGTGGCTTTCTCCTGTTTCTATAGGAAGTTAGATATGGTGAGTTTTAGGCATGTCTCCCAAGTTCCCACAAAATTTTCCATCCATTAAATGCCTGACTTACTAGTAGGCAAAAAAAGACTGAACAAGACGTGTGACTGAGACAGACTAGTCTGAGTGGTATGCTTCAAAATGCAGTTCTAGTATGACTCAGTGTGTTCATTTCCAAATATTATTGAATTTTCCACTGATTGTTGCATCTGGACAGTAAAATCAAAATACTGTAGTGCAGAGTGTGATTTGATCCGATCCCACTGACCTCAGCAACCATTTTCTGGCATCACTTCTGCCATGCAAAGATCTGGGGTGGAAAAGCCAGTGAATTTTACATTGACCCTTCTCATAAATTCCTAAGATTGTCTCTGTGTAACAGGCAAGACTGTAAGTCAATAATAAGTTCTAACCTAAATGGCTTATGAGAGACGTTTAAAACTTTTAACCATGTTGTGGCAAAACTATGAGTATTATCAAGCACTTCTGTAACCTTATTCAAACCAATGCTTGTCGAAATCATAACTGTGAACCAATATTGTATTCCTTCCTCCATAGTGTAATTGAATGGGATTATGTCCCAGATATTCAGAAGTTTGCAAAACAAAATGTTTTTATTTTTTCTATGGATTGAACAGCAATCATTATGTTTTATGTGCAGATTAGATGTTCCTTTTTGCTATATTTTGGTATGATCACATGAAATATTCAGATTTGAGCCTACAGTACATGTTTTCTGTCAATGGACTACCAGTTTTAGAACGTAGCCATCGCAACAATCGAGGAATATTCTCAGCTCTGTGCGTTAGTCAACATCATGCCATTTAAACTTTCAATTTCAATTGAAAAATTAACTTTGATCTCTGCTGCGATGTGATACCGAGAACTTATCAACAAATATTGGTGTATATACACAAGGGCAAGGAGACCAGCATTGGTGGAAGTCAGGAGTAGACCAAAGAGTAAGTTTAAAAAAATGGTCTCAAAGCTGTAAGGCTGGAGGAGGCTAAAGATGGAGGCGTGTGGCATTTAGGAATTTGAAGAGATATAAATTTTAAAATTGAGACATTTTGTGGACTGTGTGCAAAGTTGATCTCCAAAGGCAGGTGTAATGGGTGAGTGGCATATGTTGTGAATTAGGATATAAGCTACAGTTTTGGCTGAGCTTATGTATGTGAAAGGTGAAAACTGGATCATGTAGGACATCATTGGATTCGTGAAGTCTCAAGGTAACAAAGGCATTGGCGAGGGATTTAACAGTAGATGAGCTGAGACCAGAGTGGAAAGGGACAAGGTAATGAATGTGGAAGTCATGGTGCTGAAGCGGATATGTAGTCACAAGTTCAGCTTGAAATTAAATACAACATCAAGGTTGCAGGTGGTCTGGTTCAGACACAAACCATCACCAGAAAGAAGGTTAGAGGCAGTGGCTGGAGGATGTCGTGGTGACCAAAGAGTGTGGCTGTGGTCACCCTGATATTTAGAGGAAATTTCTGCTCCAGCCATTACTGGATTTCAAGATAAGCTGAATGACAAAAGACACAACAGCAGGATCAGGAAAGGGAATGGAGATGTCGCCATGGGCAACAAACGTATGCAATCTGATGTGTTTCTGGATGTTGTTACACATAGGTGAGAAGTAGAAAGGAAACCAGGAATGTGTCATTGGGGAACTTCAGACATTCTGCTGCGGTTGCAGGAAGAGAAGCTATTTCAGTTTATCTTCTGGCTGTGACTGCATTGATAAGAATAGCACAAAGGCATGATGACCCCACTCCAATGGATGATGTTGGAGGAGGATAGTGCAATCAACCATGTTAAAGTTTGCTGGAATGGATATACCGGTATTGATCAAGAAGCATGAGCTAGGACAATGACCTGTGTCACAGTAATGCAAGGTATAATTTATGACTCAAATAAGAGGACTGCATTGGAACAAGAAACCTGATTGGAGGAATTAGAATGAGGAATTGCAGAAAAGAGACACATGGCTTTTGGGAGGCAACAAAATAGTCAAACACTTTATAAGGGAAAGGAAGGTTGGAAATGGGGTGGTAAGTTAAAATGACAAACAGGTAGAAGTTTTTTTTCGTGGAGGGGGTGATAATGGTAGATGTGAAGGGGAATGATTCAATACCTTGAGGAAACCTTCAACAATATGAGATATAACAAAGATTGGGATGAGAAGCTGGATAGGCAGTAACCTGCGGTAATACAATCTAGCGAGCAGGGACGAGGTCTCATGGCTAAGATGAGTATCGCTAAAACGTGAGGCAAATCGCTGAAGTTTTTGGTCTTGCACTCATCTGGAAAAACTCAAGAATGCCAAATTTCAGACAATCATAATAACTTATCTGACAGGAGAGAATTGGCAATGCATTCATGCACAAGGGCCCATTGTTTGTAAACAAACAGAATATCTTCGAGCCTTTCACCGTTTTTAAAAATTACCCAGAATCATGTGGATTCCATAAATCCATAAGATGTTGGAGCAAAAAGTAGGCCATTCAGCCCATCAAATCTGCTGTATCATTCAGTGAGATTATGGCTGATCTGATAACCGTCAAATTCACTTTACTGTCTTTTCCCCATAATCCATGACACCCTTACTGATTAAATATTTATCTCTACCTTGAATAAACTGAAAGACCTGGCCTCGACAGCCCTTTGCAGTAAAGAATCCTATAGATTCACTACTGTCTGAGAGAAGGAATTCCATCACATCTCTGTCCTAACTGGATGAGCTCTTAGTCTGAGATTATGCCCTCTGGTCCTAGACTCTCCCACAAGGGCAAACACATTTCTGTTGTTCGCTACATTGCAACATCTCAACCATTCAAAGTTGCATCATCAACAGGCCAGTATCTGTTTCTCCGGTGGTATAAAGAGTGATCATTTGAAATCTGGTAATCTTCCATTTATTCTGATCAATGCAAGAGGAATAGGTGCAGCAATATTCAAGGTCTGAGCTTCTTTGAGGACATGATGAGAAATAGCATTTAGGGCAAGGGCTCAGGGAAACCTTAGGGGAAATTTTGCCCAATGTGCTGGGGGGGGAAGAGTGAGAAATGGCAGACATATCTTTTAGTGAAAAACAACTTCACAATAGTGAAAATACTGGTGTCTGGTAAGGGATGCAGTAACGTTGTACTGATCTGCACTGTCTGAAGTGCCCAAGAGTGCCCCTAATGCTTGACTGAAGCTGAAGGCATTATTGCATTCTCATGGCTCTATTGTTTGCCATTGTACCTCTGAAAATTATTGTTAGTAGATTCATTATTCTTTTGATCTCCATTCTAATGATGGAAAAGACAACTGCTGCACTGCCTTAATGTAGGCATTAACTTGTGCTGTGTCACATGGCAATGAGTAATCTTTGTTCTGTTGCTGGCTCACTTTGTTCTTTGCAGTCTGCAGCGTACCGATATTAGCTACTTTTATGCTGTATTTCAGTGTGAAGGAATAATAATCCGTGTGCATATTTTGTATATTTATGTCTCAGTCAGATATTCCTGTAAACGACTAGGGTACGATTGGCTGAAGGAGTTAAGTTGCAGTCTTGGTTACAAATCACATACATGAGGACTTAAGTATATTTTCTGCAACATTTTGTTGTAATTAATGGATACATTTAGCTGTGAAGAGTATATAATCTCAGACTGAGAGCAGGGGATCATGAGTTACATTCCTGACTTTAACTGCAACTCCAACTTGACTATTCCAGTTACCTGTATTTTTTTCTAGTTGTAAATTGACAGCAGTGAAGCTCCACTTCAGAGAAGGAGGAGAGTGAATTCTAACAGGACCAGTTCCTTCTTGCAGAAGTCAATCTGTGATTGAGGGAGGGTCTGAATAGGCTGGGGCTATTTTCCCTGGAGTATCGGAGGCTGAAGGGTGAGCTTACAAAGCTTTATACAATCATGAGGGGGCATGGATAGGGTGAATAACCAAGGTCTTTTCCCCAGGGTAGGGGAGTCCAAAACAAGAGTGTGTAGGTTTAAGGTGAGAGTGGAAAGATTTAAAAGGGACCTAAGGGGCAACTTTTTCATGCAGAGGGTGGTGCGCGTGTGGAATCAGCTGCCAGAGGTGGTGGTGAAAGCAGGTACAATTGAAAGGCATCTGGATGGGTACATGAATAAGAAAGTTTTAAAGGCATATCCCTTTAAAATGGGAATAGATTAATTTAGGACATCTGGTCAGCATGAACAAGTTGGACCACAGGGTCTGCTTTCATGCTGTACAACTCTGACTCTGTGAAAGGTTTAGAGTGATATGGGCCAAACACAGGCAAATGGGCCTAGTTTAGTTTGGGAAAACTGGTCAGCATGGACATGTTTCTATGCTGAATGACTGTATGACCAATCAAAGGCACCAATGGGTTATTAGCAAAATGTGTCTGTCCATCTGGAGGGTTCGCATTGGTGGAGGAGGAGAGATGTGACAGCTCTAAAGGGTATACTCTTGCTAAAAACACGGTTTAGTTTGAATTCTTTTTCACGACTATAAGCAATAGTGAAACAACAAACATGAGAAAAAACAACTGCACTGTCTGTGTAATTCCAGAAGTGTTTATAGTATCTTCCACAAGAGGGAAGCAGCCTACCTCCAGAGAATCTGAATTGGATTCTGCAAGAAACTTAACACATTACTCATGGCCAACTTCATAAAATGAAACTTGTTTCCTTGCTTCGAATGTCTATATCTTACAAATCTCTGTACTTACCGACAGCTGTGTTATGCTTGTTTAAGACACAAACAGCTTGTGTGAAGTTAATAACCTTTGACCTCTCCTGTTCTCTTGACCAGTTGGTTCTCCCACTTCCTTTCTTCATATCTTCGTTCCTTTCTATCGGGTTGGGATAGCTTCTCCTTCTTTCTTTCTTCTACTTCCAGGTGGTCAGGGACTATTGTGAATAATCAGGTAAACCTGTCTTTTTTTTTTATATATATACTTAATCTAAGGTTACAGTTTTATTGATCTGTGATTTTATTTCTTCGCAAGAAAAATGGATACACCCAACATTAATCCTTCACAATAGCGAGATGCTGTTAATGCCTCCATCGCAATATTCCTCCACCACAATATTCCTCTGTAACAATTGGTGCCAGAATGAAGATTAAACCTCCTCTGTTATAGTTGTATCAATTGGCCTGGGGTGAAATACACTAGTAGTTGTACCTTTGTTGAAAATTTCCCGCTTGGATCACTTACCTGATGTTAAAAAATTGCAAAGTACTGAGAATCTTTACATCTGTAGGTTGGGGAAAGTACTTTAAATTAACATCCAAAATTTCAAAGAATGGGGATTGGGGTGGCATGGTGGCTCAGTGGTTAGCACTGCTGCCTCACAGCGCCGGGGATCCGGGTTCAATTCCACCCTTGGGCGACTGTCTGTGTGGAGTTTGCACATTCTCCCCATGTCTGCGTGGTTTTCCTCCGGGTGCTCTGGTTTCCTCCCACAGTCCAGAGACGTGCAGGCTAGGTGGATTGGCCATGCTAAATTGCCCCATAATGTTCAGGGATGTGTAGATTAGATGGGTTATAGGGGGACAGGTCTGGGTGGGATTCTCTGAGGGTCAGTGTGGGCTTGTTGGGCCAAAGGGCCTGTTTCCACACTGTAGGGATTCTATTCTATTCTGTGAAATATTGTTCAATGTTTTCTCTTTACACTAATAGAGAAACAAGAAACAATTTGATTCATCTCTCCAAATCTTCCTTGCTAAACAATGCACCAAGGTGAGTGGTGTTTCAATGTTGCATGGAACAATTGGTGGAATAGTAACGTCTCAATGAATAACATTCAAAGTCGGTTCAGCTACTATTAGCAAAATTCACCAGCCAAGCCATACCAGAGGGTGTAGGTCATCTCAGCCAGGATTTTAAGTATACAGCTCAAAAAAGATAAACTGTGCAGATCTGAAAACTGAAGCTGAGGGTTGAGCTGGAGAACATTCTACAGATGATCTTAGAGGATGCAGGGGGGAGAACAATCCTACAATGCCATCAAGAAATTTCAAGGCAACCAATTTCAATCATCTTTCTATAAATCGTTCCTACCAAGTCAGTAAATGTTAAATTCAACTAAGATGAATGAACCATGTTGCTGGTTTATTATCTCACCCAGTTCTGATCCTTTTTTAATATAAAAAGGGTTTCCTTTTAATCAAAAACATAACAATCGTAGAGTACAGATAATTCTCTTCTGGAATTAGGTACAAAGCGATTGTTGAATAGTTTCCAGAAGTTAGTGTTGCCCTTTTGTATGGGTTTGGCAGTAAGTATCTACTTTGGTGCACTGGAAATCATACAGTAAAACACTTAGAAAGAAAAACATGAATTTATCCAGAATATTTCACAACTATCAGATACTGCAAAGCACTTTATAGTGTAGTCACAGTTCGTATACAGCCAGTTCCCACAAACAGCAATATGTGGATGACCAGTTAATCTGTTTTAGTGATGTGATGTTGATATGATGTTAATTGAGGGATAAATATTGGTCAGGACACCAGGATAATTGCTTTGTTCTTCTCTAAAATATTACCACGGGTTTTTTCCATCCCATGTGAGGGGGTAATTGAAGCCTCAGCATAAACATCTCATCCATAAAATGTTAATGCAGCTACCCCTCTGTAGTGCATTGGGAGTACCAGCTTTGATTTTGTGCCCAAGTCTTGGCATTGGTCTCGAATGCACAACCTTCTGATTCAGTGACAAGAAAGCTACCAACTGAGCCATAGTTGTCATACTTTGCAAGTCTAGCCTGAAGGCAAATATGGGATAAAGAGCAATGTAAGTGTGGAATTGTGCGGTGAATTCTCATTTTACTTCAAAGCCAAATTTAAAATCTCTGATCTATCAATATAGTCATTAAAACAATCCACACTCTTCATGTAAGTTTGTATATATCTTTCTAAAAGCTTTCTACCTTTCTCCAATTACTTCTGTTCTTTGATGCTGCTTCAGGTAAAGACCACTTCTCTTGTCTTCATAAATATTCTGTTGCAAATCATAATCTGCTGTCTGCTGTTTTAACTAGTATATTTTATTAAAAGAAGCATTGGGATTGATTTTTGACTTGCTGCCTGAGTATGGAGCAGTTTTTATTCTCCTCTGATTTAGACATAAAAAATTAGTGATCCACAACAGTAGATTTTAAGCTCTCTGAACTGATTTACTGTTGATGTATTATTAAATCTAAAGCAGCATTAAGGAGAATAAACTGTTTTGATACTGCAACATAACATCATTTGCTGTCCTCTTAATGTATGTGCCTGATATGTTCAAGAAGAATTATAGAAGATCAATTTTGAAAGACAGTGATATCTAACTAAGTTGCCCATTAGGTATCACTATCACCGTGAAATGTTAATAACTGTTTGTTTTAATACACTTTTCAATTGATTTTTATTTACTAAAGTTAATAATTTGAATTTAAAAACATAAGCGATGCCTGGTTAATAGAAGCACACTTTGTTTTGTTTTCTGTTCTCTTGCTTTACATGTGCACCAAAGGCAAAATTATAGCCTACACTGAATGCTTGTCACTATCACCAAATACTGAAAGAGTGTACTGTATTTTGGTTCATGCATTATTTTGATTAATCTACAGTTTTCTTGTGAAAATGCCTTACAATTTATTTGTACTTTTTGTTCTAGGATGTGAAGCCGGGAGACGTATCAAGCAAACGGAACTTGTGGGAGAATAAGACTGATTCTTCCAATGGAAAAGCAGCCACCCCATCTAAGGTCATCATTGGATAGGAGACATCTCTCTAGATTCATACACATTTCTCCATTAAATTTCGATGTAAACTGTTACATCCCCGGTTTGACTGTACAAAACTGTTCACCCGGGAGCTATTTAAATGTTATTAGTTGATATCCAAATATTATGCTGAAATTTGTTGATGCTGTTCCTGTAACTTATCAAAAAATTGTAAAATTCTGATCGGTGGTTTGTGCCTAAGACTGATGAGAGGAAAACTGGTTACTAAAGAGTGAAATTGGTATCAAAGTGGTATCTTCAAAATCTAAAATTTCTATTTGCTAAAACTGAGGTTGCTGCAGAGCACCACAGTCTCATTGAATGGAGCTGAACTGAAATTTCAACTTTGATTGTTCCTTGAACTTAGCCACTCTGTATTGGTGAGTGTTGCTTGTTTGAAAGCAGCCAATCATGCAATACATTGTGTGTATCCACTGAACTGCTGTTTCACTAAGTGCAATGTATTATAGGTCAAGGTGATCACAATTCTTTCAAAGGGTTAAACTGCTCTACTTTCTACCCTGTTTTCTAAGGCTGGGTTTCAGCACCTGGGACTCTAACCCAGGAATGTTTTCCTCTCCTGGCCTTCAGTACTCTGATCCAGCTCATAAGTACATATGTGAGCAACCAGAAGATGCCTTATTCTGCAGGCTTCCCTCTGCTGTGGCTCCAGCAATGAATCAGACCTCCTTACTTGGGCTGGTCTACATGTGACTACAGACTCATAGCAACGTGGTCAACTCTTAACTACCCTCTGAACCGATCTAGTGAGCCAATCTGTTCAAGTGCAACTAAAGGATGGGCAATAAATGCAGACATTTGCCAGTGATGCCTATGTTCCACACAAGAATTGAAATTAAACCTCTGCCCAGAACGTTAGTGAGAAAAGAAAGCCAACAGAATGGATGTCTACCATGGCGCATGTATGCAATGTTTTGATGCTCTATAAGGCTGTGTTAACTACTGCATCAACTGTGTGCCTAACTACCAACCTCACAAAGGAAGGATCAGTCAGTGGGGTGTTTGTTTTATCCCAGCAAATACTATGTAATGAGGATCCCTCCTTCCCCACACACCCTTAGTTGCTTACTTGTAGTGTACACAATGGACTTCATCTGTGAGTCTATTCCCAACACAAATAGCCCATTACTATCACACTTTGTACCATTGTGTTACCAGGATATCTCCCATCTACAGGAGTCTCAGCCATTAAGTAGTGTGTGTTCATAGCTGAGTTCAGCTTCTCCTGTCAGTGGTGTTTCTTCGTGGGGAGGGGCAAATAATAGGGAGTATGGTGGCTTTCATTGGTTTAAAATCATTACAAGGAATGAGGAGGAGGATGCAATTGACTAGGACGGGGTGGGGGGGAGAATTGATGGTAAAGGAGAGAAGTGGGGGAAAGGTTTGAATAGGAAAAGTAAGACAAAATGATTTGAGAAAGGAAGGTCACAAGAATTAATATAGGTTGGCTTGGCAAAGGGAGTAAAGTAGGAAATGGTTGCTATAGGGATGAGTAGAATATAGGTCAAAGAGGCAATTAGATGGGAAGGTGGAATGTATGAGCTCACCGGCAGTAGTTGGTAGAGAAAGGGAGAAATTGTTAGAAATTAAGGAGGGTGGGAACAGGGAAAATTAAGCAAAGTAAAGAGGGGTAAAATACAATAAATGATGTGAATCCGCAACAACATTGGAAAAAGGAAGATGAATTCTGAGACAAATATTTGGCAGCAAAGGAGATAGTAAAATTAATGAATGGGCAGAAACTGGAAGCAAAGTTTTTGTTGGGGGAAGGTGATAGAGTGGTGTGGGTAGAAAGTTGAGAAATATTTTTGGGTGGGGGTCGGGGTTAGTAATGCGATGGATATCATATGAAGCAGTAGCTCATTGTGTTAATACCTGGGGAGAAAGAATAACCACCAGAAGCTGTAAAATTGGCACTAAAAACCTGACTAGAAAATCTTCTGTAGTTGTCTAGAAAGTCATTACTTTAAAGAAAGCTACAAGACAGTAATAATAACAATAAATGAGGAGCAGGAATGGGCAAACTAGTCCCTTGGGCCTGTTCTGGCAGTCAATAATCTGGGGTGCCTGCCTATCCCAATATTACTTCACCTCCTTGTTTAACCTCAGTCTTATACATATTCAATGGGTCAGTTTCCACCACTATGTCAGCTAGATTAAATACTTTTGTCACGAAGTGTGAGCAGGGCCAGTCACTGATTCCCCGGTATCTAACTCCATTCATTGTACCTTTTGATTGGTAGACAGCCTGTAACAACTTCTGATGGGACCTAGGCTGATAGGTGAAGGATAACATTTATGCAATCAAGTGCCGATTCCATGTAGAAAATGTTGAGTAACTCACTCCACTCCCTCCCCCTTTCTACTGATCTTTAACAGCATCACCAGCTTTACGACTCCCCACCATCAATATCTTGGGAATCATCATTGACAGCTGATGGATCCGATACCTTGGCCAAAGACAGATTACTTTATGATAAATGTACCACCTCCTACCCTGTAAAACTTGCATGAGTTCCCATAATGAATAAAAATATTTAGGAAATGGAACATCTTATGCCCGATTTTGCAATAAAGGCTTCTACCCTGCCAATATCTTGTTACTGGTGCTGATGAGGATAAGCTATCTTGGTGTTTTGGAAAGGGTGAGACATTGTAGTTTAGTTAAGAGTACCTTTGGGAAGAGAACAGTAAGGTTTTGATATGGCCATCAGCTGTCCCTTGATTCCAGGATGACCACTACATACAGCCACAAGTTTCTGCAGTGGTTCTTCAACTAACTGAATGGGTTGATTCTCAACCCACACATCTTCAGGCACGTGGAGCAGGATGTGCAATCTGGACTGAAGGATTTGTTTCTTTGTCTTATAGCCTTTGCCACCACTCTGCCCCATTAAAACTTTGGGACTCGGTGTGATACAGCTTGGTGGACAAGTTGTTGTTATTTTGAACAACTGGTAGCAAACCCCTCCCAGTCTTTAATGTCAATGCTGCCATGTTTCATGGGAAACTTCAGAGTGTCTTTGAAGTGTTTTCTTTGATGTCCTATGGAACATTGACCACCTGAGAGTTGAGAAAATAGGATCCAGCAGGGAGGTGGTTTTTGGCCAGCTCAACACAGTTTCTGGTAAATCGAAGCTGATTTCTGCCTAAATGCTTGTAGAGCTGGCTTTAAGACAGATGCTAACATTTGATCAAGTGTTCTCAAACTGAATCTGGATGATGCAGCAGAGACATTTTTGATGGAATTGCTCAAGTGCTGTTGTATGTTTCTGATTCACAGAGTGGGTCCCACTGTAGATCAGGAATGTGCTGATGACAATGGCTTTGTTCATTAAGACGGTGTTCACTTGTAGAGGTTTTTGTTGTCAAACACTTGTCACTCTTATGTCTAGAAGGCTGAGCTATCACAGCTGCCCAGTGTTGAGTCTTCTTTGTCAATGGTGGTCTTTTGAGAGAGCTGCTGTGTATCAAGAAATGCCAAGCGTTCAATATATCTGAGAATCTCTCCTTCAACAAATGTGAGAAGTGCAATATTTGCCTGGTTAGTGTGTAAGTTGATATGAGGTTTGGTTGGGCAACATTTCAAGTGTTGAGCAGTTATCAGAAGTTGAGGATTATCAGATCAGCCATTAGCTAATTGAATGATGGAGCAGAATCAATGGGCTGAATGGCCTATTACTGTTCCCACATCTCATGATGACCCTGAGCTGCATCTGGAATTCCTCTCCTCAGTCAGGCTGTTTTGAGGCTGAGACATTGTTTTTTTCTCTCTTGGATTTTTGGACCTTATGTTGTCATGGCGCTAGTTTATCACTAATTGAAACAAGTCTTTGACCTATCTAGTAGACATCAATCTCCTGCATGGATCAAGTGATACAGATGACACTTAGATCATTCATCCAAAAAAAAATGACATGACCCAGGAGGTGCCAGTCATTTGATCTAGGATGCCTCCACACAATTTTGTTTTCTCATCTGCCTCAAAGCTAATGACAAAATCCTATTGGCCATAGCTGAGCTGTAGGTAAATGTCGTGAGTCTTTCATTTACACAGTTGAGGAGGTTTGGCAGTGCAACCAAGATTGCATTCCTGCTGGAAAAATGGAGTCCGTGAGCATGAGAGTTTCTGTCAGCCATTCCTTCTCATTAGGAAGTTTATCCCCTTGCTTGTCTCACTGGCTGCTTCTCTGCAGCAAGGCAAATTCACTGAGGCCTCCTAATGATTTCTTTCCAGATGGTTGAGATTGATCATGAGTGGTCTAACTTGCCAAGTTTCAAAAGTTAATGTTTCTTTTCTTTCTGTCACCACTAAGATGGTGATCTTGCAGGTCTCCCAGCTAGGAGAAAGCAAGACAGCCTATTCTTAGTCCCCTGCTCTTTAGGGTTAAGCTTAGGTTTTCCCAAAGAGGACTGCTTGGTGTCAAATACTGCTTCCCAAAGACCCAAGACTGTTCTTGTGTGGTCAGCCTTTAGGGGAATGTGTCTCTATTTTTGAAACTCTTGGTTAACATTTAACTTGGGTATGAGTAATGGCTTACTTTCTGTAATTGGGCACAAATCATTCATAGATGTCTGCAGAAATTTGATGGGCAAACTGAAGGAAAAAATTTAACCATTTAACCAACTGGGAGTACTGCCTGGGAGAAGGATACGGGCTCAAAACAATACAATTCAAGCACTAGAAAAATGATGACCATATTTTCTTTGTTATGCCTAGATTACAGCTGGAAGTAAGTACAAGTCAGGCTCAGCTGGGGATCACCGCAGTTACACTAATGGTGAGTGACTTGCAGAAGCACTTCATATGGAACATTAACAATATGGCCAGGTGATCCTGGACTTGTTTACAACACTATTTCAAGCTGCACGCACAGCTTTATTATGAATACTAACAGCTGAACATTAGTTTTTTTTAATTGTATCTTCAATGTGCGTCAGCAGAAAGACAGTAAAATCATAAACTAAATAGGTGACAGCGTTCAGAACAAACTGTACGCACTCTTCATGGGGTAGCTAGAGAGATGTCACTGTGATAAATGGCTAGCCATGTGTCAGTTCATCTTTTGGGTCCTTGTTCAATTACAAATCGCTATATTTACAAAATCAGTGATAAATCATGGGTTTATTCTATTCGGAGAATGCTGCAAAATGTTAGGTGGCTAGTTTGCATTGTATTGTCTAAATTTAAATGAGCATCGGAATCTGAATCATGTTTGTTGTATCACACATCAGTCTGTGTGCTGTTGAAATGAAGAGCATGTTAGAATTGACCATTAATCACTCATTAGCTACAGCAGGTTTTAAAAATACCTCACAAAAGAAACCAAGGAGAAACAGGAGACAGATCATTTTACCTCACAACAGCTGGGTATTATTCCTGGCTGTTGTACATTATAAGTAAAATTAACAACTTACCAGGCACATGATTGTTTGACAAGGCTGATTTGTAGCAGGGAGGTAGAGTATGGCACATATTGAGGATCTACTCAATAGAAAACTATGAAGGTAACAACCTTGATATCAATGTGAGTTTCATTCTATTAAAACCAAGTCCCTACAGGCCAAGGTCAACCACAAATTTACTAATAAAACCACATAAACTGTAAGCACTCAGCAGTTCAGACAGAGTCTAAATACAGAGAAACCAAGTTAATGTTTCAGAGTAGGTACCATTTAATCCAAAATGGAAGATGATAGACATTAACAGTTTTTAAGCAGTCATAGAGCCAAGGCTTTTTATCATTGATTCAATTTTTATTTAAATTTCAAGCACCACACACAAAAGTGATGGGTTATCCCATCTAGCCAGAAAATGGTGGAAGTACTTAGGTTGTGAGAGGGATACGAATAGTTAACAGACATATTGATAGGTTAACTAAGTGGGCAAATTGTGCAAAAATGTGAAGTTTATTTTGGAAAGGAGGACAAAAAAACAGTATTATTTAAAAGGACAAAAACCACAGAAAGCTGCAACACGCAGCGACCTGGGGGTACCTGTGCACAGAACACAGAAAACTAGCACACAGAGTGCAGAAGGCGATCAGGAAAGCTAATGGAATGTTGGCCCTTATTTCAGGGGGTTGGAGTTGTATTGGAACTGTACAAGGTGCTTGGTGAACCACATCTGGAGTACTGTGAGCAGTTTTGGTCCCCTTATCAAAGGAAAGATGTCAGTTCATTGGAGACAGTTCAGAGAGTGTTCACTACGATGATCCCTGGTATGAAGGAATTGTCTTATGAGCAAAGAATAAGCAGGTTTGGATTCTACTCACTGGAGTTTAGAAGAATGGGAAGTGATCTCTTTGAGACATACAGGATTCTTAAGAGGCTTGACAGGGTGAATGTTGAGAGGATGTTCCTCCTCATGGGAGAGTCTAAGACCAGATGACATGATCTCAGAATGAAGGGGTGGCAATTTAAAACTGAGATGAGGAGGAATTTCTTCTCTGAGGGGTGTGAGTCTTTGGATCTCCTTACCATAGAGAGCTGTAGGGGCAGAGCCCTTGTGTATATTTAAGACTGAAATAGATAGATTCTTAATCAGTCAGAGAATTAAGGGTTTGGGAAAGGGCAGGAAAGTGGAAGCAAGGACTGTTGGATCAGCCATGATCCTATTGAATTGTGGAGAAGGCTCGAGGGGCTGAACAGCCTACTCCTGTTTCATATTGTCATATAACATAGGTGTTGAAGCATCATGGAAAAACAAAGTTAATGTATCCGGTCTGTCCTGAAAATGTCAAATATATTTGTGTGTACATGTATCCATTAACAATTCAGCCACAATAATTTATTTCTCATTTTTTAGATATTTACTTAAATTTACATACCTGGTTTTGGTTTGTTCCTCTTAAATTGAATAAGAAACTTAATCACAATACAGTCAGTACCTTCAAGATGGGTAATGATTGGTTTACATGGCTAGTAGGTGGTTTTGGAATCACAGTGCCGAGGACCTGGGTTCGATTCCAGCCTTAGGCAACTGTCTGTGTGGAGTTTGCATGTTTTCCCCATGTCTGCGTGGGTTTCCTCTGGGTGCTCCAGTTTCCTCCCACAGTCCAAAGATGTGCAGGTTAGGTGGGTTGGCCATGCTAAATTACCCATAGGGTCTAGGGCAGGAAATGCAGGGTTTAGGTTAGGGGGTGGGGATCTGGGTGGGATGCTCTTCAGAGGGTCGGTGTGGACTCAATGGGCTGAATGGCCTGCTCCCACACGGTAGGGATTCTATGATTTAACCCTGGCTCCATTCTCATCACTAAATCTAGGCAGGTCTGTTCCTTGATTAGTTCCTATATATATTGCACCGGAAACTATCCTGAATCCATTCGAGCAGTTCATTAACTTTACCTGTATTATTCCTTTCATTCCCGACCACACGAATATTAAACGTTCCCATTATAACCATATCGTCTTTACTACATGCTTACCCGATATGGATATTTATACGTGTCCCCAGCCCACACTATAATCAAGAACTTTCTAAACTAGTCCTTCTCAGAGCTTTTTCATTTTAAGGATTGCTTTTAAAATGCTTAAGATCATTTAAGAAAAAGTAGGCCATTTAGCCAATCAAGCCTGCCCCAGCATTCATCTAATGGAGTTATAGCCACATCATGGCAATTCTGATTGTGGCTATGACTCTATTTTCCTACGTCCCAACTCTCAAAATGTTTTTCCTCTTACTGAAATCTTTTAATTGTACTACTGTCATTACTCTTTTTCTCAATACTGCTGCTCCCTTTCCATTGTTCGCAGTATTTAAACATCGAAAGGACAGCAATATTTAAGGCCAAATCCTGCCCAATTTTTGAACGAACGCACTAGAAGCTGTAGTGAGCGTTTTGATCTTTTGAACCTGCTTCACCATTCAGTGACATAATGGCTGAACAGTTTGTGTTTTGAGCTCCATATTCCCACCTGCTCTGAATAACCTTCGATTTCCACTGCCAAACAAAAATCTCTTTGCAATAAAACAAAGAACTGCAGATGCTGAAGATCTGAAACAAAAAACAGAAATTGCTGGAGAAACTCAGCAGCATTTGTAATAACATTTTGAATCCAGCAACCCTGCTTCAGAAATTCCAAAAGTTAGAGTCAAGAAGAATCACTGGACTTGAAACATTGACCCTTTTGCTCTCCACAGATATTGCCAGACCTGCTGAGTTTCTCCAGCAATTTCTGTTTTTGTTTAAGAATCTCTCTACCTCTTAGAAATGATTTGGTTAGAATTAATGAACAACAAAGAATGCAAGACTTCTGTGTATTCTCAAACTTGGACACAGTCCTCTGTAGGTCAGCAGGGACTTTCCAGGGATTCATAAAAACTGTGAAAGTGCTGTGGCCAAGAGTAAGAAAATGTGTAGCAGTCAGAGACCAGCTCATGACCCTCTCCTGCTCCTGCCTTGGAAATATTCAATGACCCTTTCTCCACTACCTTCTGAGGCAGAGTTGCAAAGTCTGTCAATCTTCTGAGAGAGAAAAAAATCTCCTCAACTCCTGTTCTAAAATGGTGATCCCTAATTTTAGGACAGTGTTCACAAGTTGTGGACCGACCCACAAGAGGAAACATGCTTTTCCCAAGAAGTCAAGACTATACAGGATCAAGAAACTTCAGTGATGAGGATGGATTGAAGAAGTTGTGACTGTTCTCCTAGGAGAGAAGAAGGCTGAGGGGAGATTTGATAGAGATTTTCAAAATCATGATAAAAATGAATGGTATAAATAGGGAGGAGCTTGTAGAAGAAACAAGAACACAAGATCATAGATTGAAAGAAAAGTGCAAAGGAAACAAAGATAATGTGAGAGAATTCTTTTTTCACACAGCCAGTAGTTAAGGTGTGGAATGCACTGCCTTGAAATGTGGAGGCAGTTCCAATTGAGGCATCCAAGAGGGGCATTGGATGGTTACTTGGATAGAAATAGTGTGCAAGGAAATGGGGAGAAATCAGGAGATTGGCACTCGAGAATAGAACAGTGCAGGCATGATGGGCCGAATAGCCACCGTGGTGGTTTTGCAAAAGTCCTGAGTAACTGAAGCACAATGTCCTTGCGTTAATGTTCAATTTCCTGTTCCAATAGAGGATAGCATTCTATTAGCCTCCTTAATTACTTGTGTATCTTCATGCTAAATTTTTGTGACTCATACGATAGAACACTCAGATCAATTTGTAGCCAAAAATTCTGCAATTATTCTCCATTTAATCAATAGTCTATATTTTATATTTATCCTGCCAAAGTGATATTTCACATTTTTACACACTATCTCCACCTGCCTATCTATTTGCATCTGCATTCTCCTTAATTGTTCTTCTCAACATAACGTTCCTATTTATCTTTGTGTCATCTGCAAATGTAGCCACAATGCCTTCGCTCCCCTTCCGCTGTTTGGAAACATATCTAGATCATTATTCTCTTAAAGCAGAATTTGTGCTTCTAGCATCCTTGCTTTACTTCTTATGCAGTGTGCATTGTCTCCAAATGCTGATTAGTCAATGCTCCTGTCTTGGATTCATATTGAACAACCAATTTATAAGCTTTCAATTCTGATGTCCGTACATTAATTTATGTCTGTGTGTCCTTCCTACTACCATTATGGAATTGGTCTGAGAGTCTTCAGGGAATCGGTTCCAGATTAAATTGCTTTAAAAGGATATAAAGAAATTTGCCCTTCTTTTTAAATTGGCCTAATATTTGTGTCTCGATGGTAACTATATGAATACGGTGGGAGCTTTTGGTGGCGGGGGTGGAGGTGCTATAATTATGTTCCACTTATCAACCATGGATTTGCCTAGCCTCATGCAACAATAATTTTGATTCATACTTAATGGCAAAAACATGAAAATCATTATGATACTTCTCATTCTTTACACATTCAGTGAATAATATGTCAATTTAAAATGACATCTCTCAAATAGGGGGCATATTTTGTTCTAAATCAGTTGTATTTCATGTGCGCTGTAATTTTCTGCACAAATCAAAGTTGTAATGTTATTTTGTTTGTTCAATGTCTCCACACAACTACATTTGATTTATCTTCCTTTCTTCACCAGGGATGGCACATTATGAAAATGAACCCTAAAGAAATCAGCACAGAATTCTGTCCAACTGGTTCTGAGATGCCTAGATGAGCTTTTTTTTTAAAATATTTATATATTATTTTATTAAGGAATTGGTTCACATTATCCCAGTCAAAGCCATGTGTATTAGCACTGTATTACAAATCCACACATTAGCAATTGATCTTCACAGGTATAACACCTTTGTACAGATCATTGAAACCCTTATTTTGAAAGAGAAATGTGCTGTGAAATTTGAAGATTTAGAATATTGATACAACATCTACTTTAGAATAAAATTAAATCTAGAAAATGGAACATTCTGATCATGAATTCATTGATAAATTAAATGATTAAAACCAATGAGATTTTGAATTAGACTTTCTACTCACTTTAAAATGTTCTGCCTGATGACACGTTTTTTACATTTTTGTTAAATATGTTTAAATGGGTTTAAGATTTGATTTGTAATATTGGTACTGATTATTGATTGTTTCATTTTGTTCTGAATGGAGAAAATGGAGCAATAGTGGTTTATCACAAATAACATTCACATTTTCTAGCTTTGTAGTTTAATTAAAGATAGAATGCTTTTAACTAGCTTGAAATGCTGGATCATTTATTCAGTAATAAACCAGATAGCAGCCTACAGCACAGTTTTTTTTTTAAAGAAAAATTCACACTTCTCACAAAAGTTATTTCCAACATAACTGGCCTTAGATGTTCAAAGTGAGTACTCAAGAGACAAAAAAAAACTGAATCTGCCTCAAAATTATATTAAAAAAAAACTCAATATATTTTAACGAGTGACCGAATGAGTGTATGTGTTGATGTGTGTGTCTGCGATGAAATAGGACAATGAATAGATGTAGTATTAGGAGTTTTAAAAGGGGTTATGAGTTCTCTGAAACACTGAACTTCCACTATGCATGTCACAGGAGCTGTACCACATACCTTTAGATGTATCACACTTTTATTCATATCTTAACCTGCATACATGGCGAATACACAAGAATTCAAAGTCCTGATTTGTTGAAGGAAATTGAAAGTTTTAATAGATGTTTCTTCAACATAGTTTAATTTTGAGTCTGAATAGGAAAAGAGGCTTTTTATCACTTCTTGTGTATGTTAGTCATCTCTGCGTGAAGTTAAATAAAGGTGGAGAAATCGACCCAAAGATGTGCTACAACAGCTTTGCTACAAAACATTAACCATTTTGTACTTCTTTTCAGTTTACATATAACATGAAATGCAAATGCACTCAGTTATTGTCTGGAAATAAAACTATGCAACTTTTATCTTAAATTGCCTGCTTTCTGCCATTTTGTGAACACCACAAATAGTTAGAGTTTGAGGCAACTGCATTTTCCATTACAATGTTTAAAACAATGTATTATGAACATGGCAATTCACAATAAACAGATTATTTCTATAAACTGGCTGTGTTTGTTTATTGAAAACTGATAAATGTTAAATGAATTAAAACCACTTTCATATTATATATTTGGTGGGGTTCAGAATAGGCTTATTGACTGCCACTCTAGAATGAGGAACCAGTAGCTGATCAAAAAGCTGGTCTTCATTCAGGAGTCACCTGCTGTTGAGATGTTTGGAAAAGATGGGAGTTTATCTCATCTGGTGTCCTGCTTGTGCTAGCCAGCTTTCCCTTTATAGGGAAATTGAGGTATCACCAGAAATAATTAACTACTAACTTGGAAGGGATCCCAGATTGCCTGACAGTACCCTAGTTTCAAACAGCATTGTTGTGTGTCAGCTGTGGATAAAAGTATAAAACTCACATATTGTGTATCAGATTAGCACATCTCTTGCAGGTGCTTTATGAACATATTTGCTGTGGAGATGGTCATGCTTCACAAAGCAGGGAAATGCACCTTCCCATTAGCAAGGGGAATGTATACAACGAAGATTCATTTAGGCATTATACAGGGGAGGGCTGGTGAGGCTAAAGTGATAGACTTCTCCATCTCTGGTGAGGGAGCTTTACAAAAACAGACTGGGCTCTCGGAGGATTGAGGTGATTGTAAAGTTAACGTTTAAATTTATGTCTGAAACAAGTGAATGTTGGGAACTCCAGCAGAATATGTGCGAGCATGTGCTCTTTTAGTTGTAATTCCCCCAATTTTTACAGAGATGTGAGATTATGTGTGAGTACGTTCAATTAAATTTTTGTAGACTGTGCTGGATAGCACAATATCCTTCATATTTCTCCCTCACTCCCCAAACATTCTCTGGAACACCCAACTTTGTTTTGGCCTTTTCAAGTGATAATTGAATAACCTTTTGCAGGTCAGCTAGATAGCACTAATATTTTTAGTAGTGGTGTAGTTGACACTCCATAATGCTGCATCAATTATTATAATGTGAGGTTTTTGTATTGTTCAAAGTTAGCCTTGGGCATGACAACTTTCCATACACTTTAGTGCAATGGAAACTTGCAGAAACATTCAAAAAGCGTGTATTCAGGTCTGGCAGACACTACATAAAATATGCATAACACAAAAATCAATTGTAATTTCTTTTTTTGGCACCTGCTGTCTCATTTCTAACTACGAAAATGAAAATCATGCAAATATCTGTCCAATACAAAAGACTTGTCTGCTAATCATCATCAATGGCAATGATTGTAGTTCTTCCTTATGTTTGTCCTGGGTTATTGTTGTGTGTCACCTGTGAGTAAAGGTATAAAACTCGCATGTTGTGTATCTGACTGACAGCTTCCACAAGCATTGTCTAATAGAGAGCAAGATGGTTTATTAGAAAACCTTTTCACCTAGAGGGTTGTGGGAATCTCAAACTCACAGTCTCTACGGCGGTTAAAGGCAGAAACTCTCATAATATTTAATAAGTATTTCACTGTGCACTTGCAATGCCAAGGCTACAGGCCAAGTGTTGGATCATGGGATTAGAATAGATCACAAGATCGCTACAGTGTGGAGGTGGGCCATTCAGCCCATCAAGTCTACACTGACCTTCCAAAGAACATTCCACCCCTCTGCTCTTTCTCTGTAACCCTGCATTTCCCATGGCTAACCCACCTGGCCGGCACATTTAGCACGGCCAATCCACCTAACTTGCACATCTTTGGACTGTGGGAGGAAACCGGACCACCTGGAGGAAACTCTCACAATCATGGGGAGAACGTGCAAATTCCACACAGACAGTCGCCCGAGGGTGGTATCAAACCCAGGTCCCTGGTGCTGTGAGGCAGCAGGACGAAACACTGAGCCACCGTGCTGTCCTGGTTAGATGCTTGTTTCTGACTGGCACAGAATTGATGGGCCAAAGGGCCTTTATCTGTACTGTACTCCGGTGGAGCCAAAGTAATATCCCCTTGAAAGTCGAGTCTCACACATGTACTTTCTATCTCTACAACATCTTACATAAGATTCACCGCACAGCGGCCAGTCATTCAGCTCAACAAATTCAAGCTGGTGTTTATGCTCTATCCAAGCTTTCTCCCATCTTTTCACATCCAAATCTAGATTTTCTTCATTCTTGCTGCCTTCTTATCCAAACTGTCAGTAAGAGCTTCTAAATCACAATTATCAGAGGTGTATGTTTAATTGTCCCTCTTACTCTGAAGTCCAGTGACTACATTTAAAAAAGACAAAGTCTTCCACAATAGTAAATGTGAATTCAAATGCAACAAATTGATGTTTTAAATTAATGATTAATAAAAATGACTATTAACAGAAGTGCCACACAGCAGAACAACGGAGTTGAAAGCTACAAATCAGGCTAACCATCCAGGAAGATGGGTTTGAACCCCACCCTGCTATATTGGTAGGACTGAAAAACAATGCCTACCCTAACGGCTCACTAATGAAACCTTCTTTTGCCTTTTTGGTTAGGAAGCACAGTTGGAGAGAGAAATATGCTTGATTAGTAAGGAAAGCAAAGATTATGGGGAAATTGGGGCTGAGAATGTATCAGCCATGATCAAATGATAGAGCAGACTTGATGGGCTGAATGGCCTAATTCAGCTCCTATATCTTATGGTCTCTTTTGGAGGGAAGAAGAGGTGAAAGTAGATGTGTGTCTCCCTCAGTCTTGCTTGCTCACTCCTTGTCTCAGGCAGGCAGTCTTCCCCCAGGCACTCACTCGTTCACTCCTCACCCACAACCATCCATTCACTGGCTAAGGTGGTCACTCACTCACAGATTCACTACCTCAACTAATGAATGACTCCACCAGGCAGACAGCCATTCACTCATTCATGTCCCCAGCTGCTTACTAACTCACTCCCCAATCACTCACTCACACTCATTGTCTTAACCAGATAGCTACTCACTCATTACCCCAGCTGCCCACTGAATCAATCATTTCAGAAGCCATTTATTCACCCAAAGACAACCCCTTTTCTCCCCTCCCTCCCCAGTCATCCTCAGACCCAAGAGGCGAGAATCTTATTTAGTAGCTGTTTGGAACAGCATGGGTAAAAGACACTTAACAGGACTTTTGAATATTTTAATTAACTTGCTTGTGGTGAGATCCATGTTCAAAGTTGGGTGCAACATTAGTTCAATCTGTGCGGGCTGTCAATATTCTCCCTATCGCTCACTACCTGAGTAGATGATCAGACCCATAGAGCTCCTGTGTTTGTTAACGTTTCTTTGAGAAGGCACAGGTCTACTCTCACTCTACTACCCTGCCATGGTATCATGTTATCATTCTCAAACTCTCCCACGATGGAGGCCTGACTCTCATTCCCAAACCACCACACTCCTCATGGCAACCTGACACTCATTCTAACCTCCAGTGCCTCAGCCCCTCACCTCTGACACGCCTCCAGGCATCAAGCTGAGTGAAAGCACTCACCTTATACTGCTCTTCCAATCACAGACTGTTCCTCTCCTGCAATGGGTCTCTCAGCAGCAAACGTGGAAGAGAAATGACCTTTGATTGAAGGAGCAGCTCCTTTTAAAATCTTGCAGTTACACTCAAGCTGGATTTTGAACAAAGGTTTCACAAGCCATGAAGGACCTCTCAGATAGTTGTGTGAGTGCCCATGGCTGCCTGTTGGACTAGCCTGATCTATAATATTCACTTCAAACACATCCATTGCTAGCAAATTCTCCATTGTTACTGTTATCTGCTAAGTTTATACTGAATTGTACTCTAGATTTCTTGGTGATTATCTTATGAAAAATTAACTTCAGGATTTGCTGTTCACACTCTTCCCCCCACCCCCTGTAAAATTGAAGCATTCTCTCCGTATCTGCTCTATCAAAAACTTACATAACTTTAAAAATCTCTATAAGCTCATTACCCAACCTTGTCTTTTGAACACGAAAAAGACCCAGCCTGTTGTGTTATGTATATCAGTTTGCCAGTCTACCTTTAAGAGACATGCTCATGGTATCATCACTGTGACCTAAGGATGTAAAAGTATCAGACTCCATCTCAATGCAGACCACTTGAAGCATGACATGTTGATGTTAATGTGCTTTTGTTGTAAATGAATAGTTTAATAACAGGCCAGACTCAGATGCGCTTGTGAATGAATGTAATAATTATATATATATATATATATATATATATATATATATATATATATTAGTGAGCTGCTATAAATGTCTGTTAGATCCTCAATACCAAATTGCCTATAGGAGGTTCTTACATTACCAGGGATAACATAAGTATCCTTGCATCAGGTACAATACCCTATTCTCACACTCAAATCTCCATGTTTCTGGTATCATCTTCAAATCTATTTACTGGTATTTGTAGGATAGTCATTGGTGGCATATCTGCTTTGTTATTTCATTCCACTACTTCCGTGCACTCCATGCAAACTTATACTTATAAATGTATAATCCCAGTCTTTGCCCTAACCAGAAAACTATTACCTTATCAGATAGATGTTATCAAACCGCAAATAGGCCATGAGTTTATGATGTACATCCAGCACAGATACCACAGGCTGAATGGCTTCTTTCTATGGCGTGTGATTCATTGTGGAAATTGCATTCTACTTTAGTATGCAAATATTTAAAGGAACAGATAAACATCTGACGTGATGCAATTTGTAAATGTTGGTTACATTAAAACAGGACCTACCTCACCTCTCTCAACAAATCAATCCAATAATATAGCATATTTGTATTAGACTATCAATTAGAGGCAATCAAGAATGAAGGAACACAATCATACTAAGCCACTGGAGAGTGAATTTAGGAGCCAAAGGGGTAGTAGAAATGTGGAATTCTCTTCTGCAAAGCGTTATGGATACTCGGACAATTGGAGTTTTCAAGACTGAGACAGAAAGATCTTTATCAGTTTTAGGAATGCTTATATATTTATGGACTATAAGAAACTGGAAAATGGAACTGTTTGAACATTTCTGGACTGAAGTGGATTTATCAAATGATTTCTTGTAAGTGAAAAGTCAAAAGGTGAAAGAGAACTGTTGATT